GTGTTTTATAAATGCCTCTAGTTATTTTACAATTTAATTGTTACTAAAATTAACAAAATTATTGAGAATTTGGCGTAAGAAGAAGATAAGCATTTGTTTAAGATTGTATTGGTCAAGGACTTGTAGCGTGCTCCATTAGACTAAGGGACCTTTCGCAGTTACATTCCATCTTGCGTCCCCTCCCCCACCTTCACACTCCAGACTGCTACCTCAAAAACATTGTTTGCTACAACCAGCGGATGAAAAAGCACTTCCAATAGCGAAGTCCAAAATTATTTGTCCAGTGTAGATCGAGGCATAGGTGAATCCAGAAAATAGCAGACAAAGTCCAATCAAAAAGTGGGCTTTTCGGTCCACAAAAAGACTAAAATAGGTCGTTTTCTAGTAAATATTCCGGTTTACAAACAAAAAGACAGACGGACACAGCGCAAATGATGCAAGTGCCCAATAGGCTTTCGGCATGAACATAAGGGGAAAAATAGTTGGCTTGCCTGCGTGTCTACTATGTTTGCTGAGCACCCCTCCACCTTTTACCTCCCTCCTCCTCATGCTCCTCCCTTGACAGGCTCTACTATGCACGCGAAAATAACTTCGGGTACCCGCTGAAAACGCACGGGAACAAAAAAAGAACACTGACTGGGTAAAATAAAACAAAATCTCCTGTAACTCACATGAACCTTCGCCTGAGTTTCCTTGCTCAGTAGCGGTTTGAGGAGGGAGAATACGAGCGAGAAGAAGGCCGGCGCATTGATAACAAAGCTCACAGCCATGACCTCAGGATAGTTCAGTTCAAAGGTCGAGGTCAACTCCTGAACAAAGCTCAGCCAGGGTCTCCACAACTGGCGCCGGTTCATGTGTTGCAGGTCAAAGATCACCACCAACTGATCCACGGGACGACCGGCGGCGGCTGCCGCTGAGGGAAAATGCCTGTGGAGGACGCTCTCCATCAGGTAGAACTGAGAGTTGACTAACTGTGCACGTGGAGCCGACTTCATGAGACCAAAGACATCTGCCGTGCCGGCTGGGCAGTAGAGGACGGGACGACCGTGTTTATCGTGCCCACAGAGGCCGCAGGGAAAGTACTTTTGCACTACCTCTGGAGGTACAAAAGTATCCAGCAGATCATCGATCTTCATTCGAGTTAAGGGAAACAGGAACGGGGGATAAAGACATGAAAGCGGCAGAGAGCTACATAAATAACGAAAATAAAAGAGAGAGACTAATATCTTAAAAGATCATAGGTAACTGAACTAACTGGGAAGCATACCCGTTTTAAAATTAACAATATTACAATGTACGCTAGCTTTCGAAGACTTCTTGTGAGGCCTTTAGATGTTTGTGGTAATTAACTACTTTTATCCTATACAGAGAGATCAAGGGCAAACTTCCAGCCCAGACCACCGCTATGTGCATATATTCATTCACGTGCTCCTGTGGGACAGGATATATTGGTCGCACGAACCAGCATTTATAAAAGAGCGTGCGAGAACACATTCTAGCATGATTATGGAAGGATCAACTAAAAGGTAT